AAGATATATTCAAGGAGAATGGAGCACTCGTGTTAGCCGAAGGAGTAGGGAAGTCTGGTTTGGGCAACTCCTTATACTGAGACTTGCAAGAGCCGGTGGAAAAAAATCCTTATGATCCGGTAGAAGCTGGAGCTGTGGAAAATCAATCCTCCATTTTCCATTCCTGTAAAGATGTTAGGTTGCGCAGCCAAGCCATGGGCAAAGACGCGCTATTCTCAGAAAGAGACGGGAGTTCACCTGATTGTAGTTGAGGAGAGTAGTCAATATTTAGACGCAGCAGAGAAGTTGAGTGGCACAGCCCATGAGGAATGGACTTGAGCTCGGGGCAGCCCCTTATTGTGAGAGATTAAAGGGTGGCGGGCACTCCATCCACAAAAAGAGACTGACGTTTTTTACAATTGATAATGGAGAGGACTCTAAGGGTGGGAGGCGATGGCCCATCAACTGCCAATGACCTGAGTCGGTCACACTTCTCAATCCGCATTAAGCGGTTGTTTATCAAATTTCATACCAGAAAAAAAAGTACTCGCATTCTTAACTGCCTTTCTTGGTGCTTCATTCACTAGAAGTACTCCCTCGAATGAATGAGCTATAAGTGATAGCGTGCTTTCTTGTTAATTAACTATAAGGCCGTGGTTAGGTCTTTTTTTCTATACTGGATGACTATTTAAAAAAGCTCTTTCCACTATCAGGTACTAAAGGCTTTCTTCTTCCAGTGGTAGTAGCCCTCCGCCGTGATTCTCATCCTCTTCTTTCTTTTAGAAGCTTGCTTACAGTCATCCAGTGGTATCGCTTGCTTACTTGCTTACAGAATCACTCACTCCCTGTCTTTCAGTGCTTGAATCCCGGATCAGAGGAACTGCGTGCTGGTTTGTACACGAATGCGTGCATGAAAGAGCATACTAGTCTCCGAGCTCCCTTTCTTATGCTGCTAGGCTAGATCTGGTCTCCCTGGTTGCTTTGGTAAAGAGTTCGCTTGGGTTGGGTGGTGGCTGTGAAGTTATAGCTGGGTGCTTTCTTTATTCAAGAGCCAGAGCCCAACATTTGTCACACTCACGCTGGAGCAATTGAAATATTACGACTGGTCCTTGATTCACCGATTCCGCTAACGGGTACAGGCAGGCCCCATGGGGGAGATATGAGTGGGAGGGACAGGAGAGAACAACCAACAACGCCATCCAGTGCAGACATAGAAAGCCAAGCCGGGAAGAAGCTATCTGTGGTAGTATCGCAAGGCCGGTTCCTCCAAAGCCTGAAGAGTATCTCCATCCTCGTTCGGATTGGACTTACCGGGTGATTGTCAAGGGGAAGGACCTAATCGTCACTTTCTTGGCTATGGGCAAGATCGGCTTGGGGTGAAGACTGAGTCATCAAATCATATAAGACTCAAAGGAGTGCCCAAGAAAGATGAATGGGTAGAGGTCGGAAGGAAATGCGGAGGTCCATCAACCGAAATAAAATCCCCCAATAAGGCGGCTAGAATGAGCAGAAAAAGGAACTGAGGGAAAAGAGTAGCCACCGAAGAAAGGCGGCAAAAAGACCCTCTCCGATGAAAGTTATCTCCTTGATAGGGGTATGAATATCCCTACAACCAGAAGATATCTGAAAGAGCTAATGTCTTTGCAGAAGCCTAACATAGTGATTTTACAGGAACCAGAATGGAAGAGGACTCAGTTTGTCGGCTTGGAATCAAGGACAACTTTGATTACGTAGCTTCTTTCTAGAGGGCTCTAAGGAGGCATTTGGATGTACTGGAACCCCGTGAAAAAAGTAAAATTTAAAAGGACAAGCAATTCATGACTGCTATAGTTACTGAAATAGAAAGGGGGAAACTTGGAAAATCAATCCTGTCCCTTGGTGGCCGAAAGCACGGTTTCAGAATTTAGTTAATACCGCTCCGTGGGGTCGATCAACAGGGATTTCAACAGATACAGAAGATTTATTCTGTGACTGCCTGGGCTTACCCAGATATCGATGAATAACCTGACAAATCCAGAGGAGTAGATAGAACACATGTCCAGCCTTTGCCCTCCTCGGATTGAGAGATGAAGGATGAGCGACCCGCCTCGCCTGGAAGAGCAGAATAGACTTGTCTTCCACTCTTACTGCAATTGATGGGATGGATAGAAGGCGAAAGCCGCTTTTGCCAATCAAAGCCCCGAAACCGATGGAACCCAAAGGAGGGCATACCATATCTTGCTGCTTGGATCCCGCCGCTTTGTTTTGCCTTCCGCCATTCGTTAAGAAAGCCAGACCACTTTCCAAGAACAATCAAACTACACCTAACTAGGGGACACTGACTCGGAGGACTTGCTCATACAACTGAACTGCCCTTCCATAAACTAAAGTAGCAAAAAGAATAATAAAGAGAAGACATGTGAAGGAGTACGCCCGGTTCACCTGGATTCCCTACCAGGGAATCCAGGATATACCAGGTTCTACCACTGCACTGACTGACGGATCGACCAATACCTATCGAGGTTAGCTTTAGATAACTCTATGAGAATCTTGAACTCGAAGGAAGAGCTAGGCTTTGAGCCCTACCTTGATATTCCTCGCCCACCCGCTTGCTTACGGTGGTTGACTTTCACCGGGAGAATACCAATTTCATTTCTAGGAGAAGGCCACTCCTGGATTTCATTCTTAGTGATCCAGTTTTCGCTGATCCGAGACTGATGGGCATCATCCGCTACTTCTCATGATGGTGGGGAAAAATTCCACATGAACGAAAAAACCACCTATGAAACCGGCATGGCAGCACCCAATTCTCGATCATCTACTTTTATCCTTTAGTTTAGAAGCAAGTATCCATTTTCCAAGCTACAGGGGCAAGGCAATCCATCCAGCGAGAAAAGAAAGTCGTAGGTTTTCCAGAGGAGTGACGTAGACAATCTGCCGTAGTCATCGATGATAGGTTTCCCTATTAGAGGAAGACAAAGCTAGCCCTTTCTTAGGCGCATACGGTCTATTCCCGAGGGTTTTTCATCAATCGAATTGCCGGGACAAGCGCTTCTACTTATGTTATGACCTTGGCCCTATGCTTTCTAAAGGAAGTCTACCGAAAGCCTTTGGTACTTGTCTTACCTGATCAATCACTAGGCAGGGGGAAGCTTCTTTAGCTTACCTTTTCTTTTTATGCTGTTCTTGAAAGAGCTACTCTTACCTTGCAAACTGGCAAACCAGATCTCGTCCTGATCGAGGAAAAGGTATAGTGAGCCCTTTTTCGAAGCATTGGAGTATATAAGGCCAACCAACCTATTTCCGTTGGTCGATCAATCAAAGAAAGGGATCGATTCACTTAGGAAAATCATCAATAATCTCAGTAACCAGAGCCACAGAGAGGGAGTCACAGACTTCACTTCCTCAATAAGATATAGATTGACTTATCTCTACGACAAGCCTCCTAAAGAGTGGCAACTCTAACTGGTGGATTTCCACTACTACTATCAACAAATCTCAACAACCATAGCCTGCCCAGAATCTCAGCTAGATTCCACTACCAACTCCAACTAGCATTCAGGGATCCCCGCCACCAACAACCCTCAATGAGCAGCCTTCTTTTGGTTTGATTGACAGCTCGTTTGTTAGTCAATCCCAAGAGCGAGAGTAGGCAAGTAATAGCAAGGTCACTCTAAAGAGGTATTTGTTACCTTCGGGAATCTGCTCCGCCTCTCAGCTGCACCGCAAAGCACAGCTTTCTGGTCGGTCTGGAGATAGCACGCACCGCAGAGCTGTTTACCGCTCTGTGAAAGAAGATTCCTCTGTCGACTACAGAGATTTACGAAGTTACTCATTCCATGACCTGAGGCCAGGGATAGGCTCCTGGGCATTGCTCGACGCCTTTGCAATGGCGGACAGACATGGCAGGCTTCGGGAGCCCGGTCGACTTCATTCTATGTAACCGCGCTGTTAATTCGAGAGCCGTCAGGGCTCATAACTCGGCTCCAGCGGTGAGCTCGGGTCGCGATCTATCGATCCGCCAGGATCCAACCGCTATCCCAAAAAACTCCTTGGTGAGCCGGGTCTCGGGATCATAGGGGGTAAACCGGACATCTTACTCTACGAGATTATGGAGTGAAGATATGAAAGCTGCATGCGCCTCGGAGAAACCGATGTGTAGGCTTATTCCGTGTCCCGGCTCTGGACTGACGGGGCGAAGCGAAAGCTTTACAATAGACCTAGATCCGCCTCACTCGATTGAAAGTCTATGATTGTCTGCTATGAGTAGAGAGGAGAGGTGAGAGGTAAGGATTCACATAGGATTTTTCTTTCTCGATGGGGGAAAGCTTAAGAGAGTGGTCAAGCCAAGAAGAATCGAATCGGGTGGGAGCATTCGACTTCATCAGTCGGGTTCGCTTTCCCTTCTGTCTGTGCTAGCTAGGCTAAGCTAAGTCTGACGTCTTGCTGCTTTAGTGGAGCCGGTGGCTTGACAAAGAGAGTACGGGAAGAATTCATTCCTATGCTAATGAATCTGATGCCATTGATTCTGTTGTAATGCTAGCGAAAGGCTTTAAACGAATACCTGGCTCAAGGGAATAAACTGGCTTTCTTCTCGGCTATGGGTCATGGGAGAGAGAGTGATTTTAGAATGTCTTTCAGCTAGTGTTTAAATAAGCGCTGCACGAATGGCAAGCTCCGGTCTTCTCTTATCCACTGCAACTTTCATTATTGCAGTTAGCTTGACTCCTGGTATAGCTCGTAGTAAGCATAGAGGAGTAGCTGTCCTTCATTCCAGTGAATCTTTTTACTTTAGAAAGAGTTCCCCCCGAATCCATACATTTTGAGGTCCCAGTCAGCTAATGGGACTAGAGTTCCAGTTTAGGAATAAAACGGGTTGAGGAATTCTTTCTGGATCTAATTCCTATTATGTGGGATGAAATTACTCTACTAGGGGCTTTAGCTAATAGATATATATCTATTATGCCAGCGAGGAAGAGATCTAGTTTGAGTGGGAGTTTTATTGGGACTTCTATTACATCTCGCCCAGTGGCAGTTTTAACGGTAGAGGGCTTATATATAATTCTAATTTCTATTTTCTGGCTGGGGTATAGCTATAGATAAGATATCCTGGGGTGTCACCGAAAAAACCGGGTGAATTTCTTGTTGTCTCTGCCGGGTCCAGGAATTTCTCTCTCTATAGGACCAGTGCCAGTTGGCGTGATAAGATAAGCGCTTTATAAGACCTCTAAGCCTGAGAGTTCTGTTCCATTTCGTAAATAATGTTCAGTGTGAAGTACTTCCATTCGCCCCTCCTCCAATTGCGGACTCCTTGTCAGAAGAGTTATCAAGCGCAAGGGAAAAGACTAGCAAGCCAATTACAGTCTTAAGGGTTGGTGTTCGAATTCTCTTCTCATTGGATCCAGTTGGAATTGTAGTTCTCTTTGCTGTTGTGCCAAGCGAGGGAGTTCTTTGATAACTCTACCGGTGCAGGCAAGTTTACTCGCTTCTCCTCGAATTGCATAAGAAAGATGGTTCTGGAGAGAAATCCTACCCGCAAGCATTTGCTTATAGAATGGTGGAGGGAGGAAGAGGTAGCAATACATTCCGCCTGATGCTTGATCACTGCATTCGTGATATATCAAATGAGCTCTCCGATCTATGATGAATAGTTCCTTTTATAGGATCATATTTCTTTCTAGTCCTAAGCATTTTAATTGGACCTTTCTCCTTGACTTCAGTTTTGGAATATTTTCATACGGGATTGGAACGACCTATGTTGTAACGGAGGAGAGAAGGTGAACCAGCTTCCTTTGGTCGCCTCTCCCGTCTGGTCGAGTAGCTTTCGCTCCTTCCTACTTACTTAATTATAAGCGGTGGCCTATTGGGAGCTTTTTAGTCATAGTGGGAGCTTTCGGAAATCACTTTGCAGGTCAAGATCATAGGAAGAGGGAAGAACAAGGGAGAAGATCTTTTTTAAAAGAAGACGATTCCAAAACAAAAGAAACTCAAAACGGAGAATAGGATGCCTTAAAGGTAAGGTAAATAAGAAGAATCATAAATTAAAAAGAAAATAGCTGCCTAGCCCGCGGGAAACAGAAGGTTAGGAAGGGAGAAAGGAGATTTTCCAAGACTACTGAAAGAGCACAGATTCGGCTTGGGAGTTCTCACTCGGGCTACTAATCTCCTCTTCTCCTACTCATAAGAACCAGAACAGGCACTCGTAATCGTCCCTAACCTCTGTCTCTAACCTATTCCCTTTCCTCTGTCCTTTTACCCTTTGAACAGCAAGCCGGAACTGGATTACATTTCAATAGAGAAAGCTATCAATGGTCACATTGAGACGGGAACAGATGGGAAGTTCGCCCTCCAGTTCTATTCCTTTGGATGAGACGGCGGTGAGCAATCGATAGAGAGCAAGGGATGCTAGCGCTCTTCTACTCATATTCCTTGCTTCAGTTGGTTCAGGAAGCTTTGGCATCGAGACGCATTACGATAGCTATAGCTAGGCCGGGTGGGATTCTCTATCGGATGGTTATTCATCAAGTGGATCCTTTGCCCCTTACCTCAGTAGCTGGGAAGGCAGGCCCTTAGCTTCAACTAGTTCAGTTTGAGTTCAGGAGTAGTTGCATTGCTAGTAGGCAGAAAATCAGTAGTGCGTTAGCTTATCTGTTCATTTTCAAACAACCCTTGTTTGTGCTCCTTTATCTTTCTAAGCCGCTCTCGCTAGCAGGGAATCTAGTTCAGCAAGGTCCATACCTCCATACCATAGGGTAGGGTGAGCTCGCTTGAAGCTGGGGCGCGTCTGGTGGTATCGTATATAAGATCACACGGCTGCTTTTAGGAGCGATCTGTTCATCCAACTCGAAATCTCGTAAGAGAAGAATCTGACGCCCAAAATTCTAATTCTTATGTCTTTCTTGGCCGGCAATTTACGACAAGTCTTTCTGAATTTTCGCGAGCAAATTACAATAAAAAAAAGTTTAATTAAACATGGATATATTTCTTTCTGATCACATCACTACACTTGCAGTCGGACTTATTCTTTCGATAGCTATTTTTGGTGCTTTTAAAGCTGGCCAAGTTTTTGAACGAGCTACTATTTCGGAACGTATACATGAGGTGGATCTAGAAAAACTAAAACAAAAGACCGCTAGAGATGCTTTGGAAACATTATAATGATACGAATGTCAATTTACCAGAAGAACTCAGTTTCAAAGACATAGTGGAACATTCCTTTATTATAGACGAGAATATAAAAGAACAAATTCTCGGGCTAAACAAAATCTATTTGGATCTCATTAGTAATGGCACGGGCAGTAGCTACTTTGTTTACATTCTGGATACGTATGGCCATATTGTGGGTATGTAGTTAGGACTTGGTTTTTCTATTAACTTTTTTCTCGTACCTTAAACCACCTTCTAGACTTTCGGCGGAAAAAGAAGAAGAGTATGAAAGCAGGAGTTCGGGACTTTCCTTTCGCCTGCAACAAATCGTAAAGTCGTCGCGCCGGGCCCCGGTGTCGAGCAGAGCATTCAAAGAATGAAGTTTTTAAAATAACTGAATACTTATTCCTCACAATTACTCCTTGTGATGCAGCGGAACCATGGCAATTAGGATTTCAAGACGCAGCAAGCCCTATGATGCAAGGAATAATGGACTTACATCACGATATCTTTTTCTTCCTCATTCTTATTTTGGTTTTCGTATTATGGATCTTGGTTGGCGCTTTATGGCATTTCCACTATAAAAAGAATCCAATCCCGCAACGGATTGTTCATGGAACTACTATTGAGATTCTTTGGACCATTTTTCCTAGTCTCATCCTTATGTTCATTGCTATACCATCATTTGCTCTCTTATACGCAATGGACGAGGTAGTAGTAGATCCAGCCATTACTATGAAAGCTATTGGACATCAATGGTATTGGACTTATGAGTATTCAGACTATAATAGTTCCGATGAGGAGTCACTCACTTTTGACAGTTATATGATTCCAGAAGATGATTTAGAATTGGGTCAATTACGTTTATTAGAAGTTGACAATAGATTGGTTGTGCCAGCCAATAGTCATCTACGTCTTCTTGTAACATCTGCTGATGTACTTCATAGTTGGGCTGTCCCTTCCTTAGGTGTCAAATGCGATGCTGTACCTGGTCGTTTAAATCAGATCTCTATTTTGGTACAACGAGAAGGAGTTTACTATGGTCAGTGCAGTGAGATTTGTGGAACGAATCATGCTTTTATGCCGATCGTCGTAGAAGCTCTTTCTTTGAAAGATTATTGTGATTGGGTAGACATTCATCAATTTTAAGAGGGGATGGGACTATCCGCGGATTCAGTCGCATCAAGCTCATCAACCGACTCTACCGCGGATTCCGTAGCATCAAGCTCAGAAATCGACCATGTTGTCAGGGAGCTTGTAGCGTATTGTGCCACCTAAGGACCCGGCCCCGGATTCGTTACGCTCTGAAAAGAAGAAGTTAAAAACCTTTTTAATATGGGAAGGGAGGAAGCCCGGCCCCAAAAGCAGGTGAACGACTACATAGAATCCTTAGCCATAGAGAAATCCTCAGTAGGATTTTGTAACGCTCTCTTAGAGAGAGTACGGTCTTTTCAAAGTGAGCACTAACGGAAATCCTACACCGTTTCCCTTCGATTCGGAAGAGGATCAAGCTAAGCTGTTCTCCATTATGTGGGACGGCGACCAAGATAAAGAATCTTTCTTTTTTACTACATGTCGTACGGAACGAGCCTTGTCTACGAAGGAGAGCGACCTCATCTTGCTTGCTTCTGGCGAAGCTTCTAGAAGAGAAGGCCTACTACTACAATAAATAGGAGCGATAGGAAAGCCAAGCAAGCCGTATAAAGGCGAAGAGCTCGTATAGCAAGCAAGCCTACTTATAGCCCTCTTTTCTTTTTCCGCGGGATTCAACAACTCTATATACAGCACCCCGCTCTTCTTTTCTTTTTTTTTCAAGTTCTGTTTCAAAAGTCCACAAGGAGCGCAGACTAGCTGGAAACGGGTTCCCGATCGGAGTGAACGAGTGTAAAGGTGAGTTGTTCTCACCACGCTACTCTATCTACGCTATTATACCTGGTACGTTACTTCGAATGGCCCACCTCAAAAGCTTTCTTTACTGCAAAAGGGTATAAGCATAAGACCCTTCTTAGAAAGCACTCACTGAGTTAATTACGGAATAAAAAATCCACTTTATTCGACTTGCATGTGTTACGCAAATGACATTTCCGGGATAGATTGGCTATCCTGAGTGATAAAGAGGGATCTTAGGCTCTGGTGACCGGCTTGTCTACTTAGTAGAGTCGCACTTTGGCCTTTATTAATAACATATAAATAAAGGGGTTTTCTCGATCACAACTTCTATAATTATAATGTCTAAACCAGAGCCAGAGAGAGAATCAACTTCCTTATCTAAATCTAAGATGCCGATGTTGCAGTTAAGAGAGCAGTTTCTCTTTTCTGTATCAATCGAGGCAATAGCAAGCAGAGATAGAGCCGAGCATACCAGGTATCCAGAGAAAGCAGCCTAGCTAGCCCGGAATGCCAGTCTAACACCAGTATAAGCACTATTGGTAGAGCTTTCAATCCACAGCTTCGACTTGTCTAACTGGAAGATAGAACAACATTAGATAGGGATAGAGAAGAGATTGGTTACAGATAAGAAATAGCATAGCAATTGCCTTATCTTATTAAAGCAGACAGTTGCTAGTCTCTCTCTTACTTGTCTAGTCGGAGATAGCACTCTCTTCTAGGATGCCAATTGGATAGGTAGATTGCTAACTCTCAATCCTAGCAAGCAAGTGAACGGAGCCTATAAGCAAGCGAGGCATATTAGCAAGTTTATGTGCAGTGAGTCTTGGCAGATAGAAGCTTCTTGGTGCCAGGATTCCGGCATCCAGGACATACCAGGCCATAGAGGTTCTTGTCTAGCTTGTTTCCCAGACAGACCAAGCTCCCATAAAAGAAAGGAGTACAGGCTTGTCATCCCCCTTATGCTTTCTCTATTTTTTCTATTAAAGGAGGATAGCAAGCAGGATGGCTCCATGTCCAGTCTACTGATTGGGAGTGAGAGCTGTCTACCTATTCTATTGGATCAGCTAGCTTGTCCCATCTCTCTTACTGGATTGGTATGAGATCCCAGCTCTAACTCTCTTTCCTGGCATGCACTAAGCCTAGCTAGTGGCATGCTGACCTTGCCTGGCATCCACTCCCGGATCACTGTCAGAACACACAATTCAATTAGATTTCCGACTTGTTACCTGCTGCCTGTGGTTCATAAAAAAAAAGTAGCTAATGGAATGGGAACCGCTCCTTACGCGCATTCGGGCTTAAGTTCCGAAGGTATTTTTCACTAAGTTAAGTAAGGAAAGAATAAGGCCCGGAATGAATGAAGAAGGAAGTTGGTTACATCATTCTTTGTCAATGCTACCCCTTTGTGCGGGGTAGAAGGACTCATTTCATTCTATTAAGGAGATTGCTTTCGAAGCCTATACCTATAAGGAAGATGATAGAAGGCAGAATTCCGAAGATTACTGGGTTTCTAAGAAGGCAGTGGTGCATCATCCAAAAGAAAATGGTTCACTACGACAGCATGAAGTTCCAATGTTTTTATTCCGGGAAGGATGATTCGATCAATAGCATGGAGGAGGGAATGAATTATTCAGTTAAAGAGATGAGCGTTGATCTCTCTTATGATTTTTAGAGTTACCTTGCAAAGAAGCCCTTCTCCGACAACAACTTAAGACGGGGCATCAAGAACTCTCAAGGCGATAACAAGCCCAAAGGCGACATCTGAGAGGAGAAGTCGAAAGCGCTAACAAAGGACTTGCACAAACCTCCATCACATTAGGTGCCTAGCCTCTTTCTCGATGCAGCAAGCTGAGATAGTTGAATTAGATGTCAGTTCCTCTAGCAGACGCCTTCTTCCCAAACCCCTTCTCTTCCTCTTATTCTATTTCTATGTCATTTTCTTGCCTTAGATCAATCCCTTCCTCACTTTGTCATCCAATGCATATTCTCAAGCAGGAGATTCGTGAACAGTAAGAACGCATTCCTTGTCCCATTCGATGCTTTACTATACTCTTTTCTTCAAGGTTTCGCTTGTATTTTCATAGAGTAAGTGTAGTAATCACTCTCTAGTAAAGGAACTCGATTAGCCGGGAAAAGCGCTCCTCTTTCCATTTTCTGTGATTTGAAGCTAGATATAGATAGAACTCGATCGAACTAAATGCTATTCTTTTGTGGCAAACTCGTGGTATCGTATATAAGAGAAAGCTTGCTTTTAGGAGTGCTCTTTCCCTATAACTATTAATTGAATAATCGAAGACAGATGGTAGCCTAGTTCAGAAGAAAGATCGTAGCGAATGAAAGGTAGGGCACAAGGCTATCCGAGTTCACAGGTGTCGTTGCTTATCCCTTTCTTAAGATTGGCTTGGTGTTCAGTGTACCGGGTACAAGATCGAAAAGAATGCTTTGCATTCCAAGCCGAAGTGAGAAGACGTCTGTTCTTCAACCTCTATCCCTTGTTCTGCTCTGCTAACTGTAATTTAACCACCAACCCACTCGAAGTTCAAATCCCCTTTCGCCGAGGAGTGAACGAGTGACAACAGGAGAGGGACGGGAGATAGACTAAGAATCCAAGGGGTGACAGTAAGTCAATTGACAAGTGGAGATAGTGAATCACGAATAGACTCTCAACCTCTCCTTCCAAGTTCCGTGGGGAAGTGCCCAACTCCAGCTCGACTCTTAATCTTTGGGTGAGAAGGTAGCTCTATTGACTTACGGTAGGAAAGAACGACTGATAAGTTAAGGAGCTGAAGATAGTCAATCGACAGTTCTCCCCCACCAACGGAGTACAGGAATCTTCTTATCCTGGTTTCACTCCCCCAGGACGATGGCAAGAACTCTTAGCAACGAACCATCACAAATATGCCATCATCACATTACACCTGCCTGTTGATTTCCTCACTCCAGAGAACGTCGCGCCACCTCTGTCTCCAGATGACACTGGAACGTACTTGGTCGTTGGGAATGGGCTTCCACCAAACAGTTTGAGATGAGACGGGCAGGCACAGGAGTTTCGAGAGATGAGCTGTCATTATTGGGAAGTTTTGAGGTATATGCCCGTTAGTTCCAGGTAGTAAGTGGGTCGCACTGCTGGGATAAAATACACTTGTAGGTACACTATACGTAAAGGTGAGGACATATGCTACGGGTGCTACATTAAAAAAAAAGTCTTTTGATTTGGGCCCAGCAGTTTAACAGATGGAACTCGTTATGGATGCTTAGTTTGGAGTTGGCTTAGAAAAGGTACGGACTATACATGCCGGAACGGCCTTCTGGTATGGGTTATCCAAGCTGGTAAGCGAGTTCTGGAGTTCATGCATCAGCGACAGCTTAAGTTGGAAAGCATTGGTGCATCTGAGACGCGGAGCAGATTGCCACTTAGGACTGTGTGCTGTGGTCCCATTACAAAGGGAACCTCTTGAAACAAGGGTTTCGATTACTCTCCCTCTTCGTTGCCCTGTGGTTGATCCCAGCGGGGTCGTAAAATGGCGGTTAGCGGAGCGGGTACAGGTCAAGCGAGGAAAACAAGAGTTCCGGTACAACCAGACGAAGTAATCACTGAGCCGGATCAGCCAGACGAAGCAAGAAGAGTGCCGGATCATCCGGGCACAGAAAGTCAACCAACTGTAGATGAAATCTTATATCCATTCTGGTTTGATTCGGAAAAAACAAAGAAAGACTCTATAGCTAAATTAGAGTGGGGAGGCTGACCCAAAGCCCAGTTTCAGTATGGACGTCCCGTTGGAGAATGCGAGACCTCATCTTCATAGGTTTATCTGCGTGCCTGTTGATTTGACTTGGTATGGGACTGGATAACCCATGATCTCAGGTTATGCCTCATCATCATAGTATGGGCCTGCTCCCCTATGAGTCACTCTGATCGCTACTTGTTTGAAGAATCTCTTTCTTCAGACCGTGACTGATTGTTTGTCTGCTAAGCTCGGGAGCTAGGACCCTTCCTTCCCCCGCCAAGGTTAACAACGAGCCGCGTTGAATGAGTTAGGTGTACTCCTCGGCTGTGAAAGAGAGGGCGCTTCTGAGCTAAATCAATCCCGCACAGGCCCGGAACTTTACACTCAATGAAAAGGAAGAGAAATTCCGCTTTGAAAGCGATTCCAGAGATCATAAGAACAACCGGGTGGCGGGCGGGAGCAGCAGAAGCATTGAGATGTTCAGAGATGCGTCAAAGTATACCTATGAAAGTGGATTGCAAGGGTCAGGCGCCTTATTCCCTCAACCCTGAACTCTACACCGGCGCAAGAGGAACCGGAATAGGAGCTTTTCTATCTATAATAGGAATAGCAACGGACCAAGGAACACAAGCCAGAATAAGAAGCACTTTTTTCTCCGTATTAGGAGCTAAAACGGGTTAGGGATTCTTGTAGGGACGGTACGAGTAGAAGCCTATTCGAATTCGAGAGCAACTCCTTCTTTGGCCTGCAGCCTCTTGGTAGTTGGTAGATAGGCCCAAGCCAAAAGGTGGCTCAATTGCCTGGTTTTGAGGGTAGTAAGGAAGCGAGAAAAATCAGTGTCGAGCCTTAAAGATAAAGAGCCTGAAGGAAGTTTTGATGGTCTAAGTCCTTCTCTTACTGAAAAAGATTGGCAGAAGTCTAAAGTCATAGCTATAACTTTTTCCTCTAAGTAAATTTCTTTATTTTAGATTTTAGAGTAAGGGGAGAGATTGTCTGTCTGATATTATATCTTCGAAGCTTGATCATCCGACTCCTTTACTTTTTTAATGAGGCCAAACAAAGTATGAAATAAAATTACCGCTTTCTGCTTCTCGAAAAGCCGCCCTACCCGGATTATCGCCTTCCTATGTGGGAGGAGATGAGCAGTACTACTGCTGATGCTGAGACCCATGAGGAGACAGAAACAACCGATAGCGACCCGATAAAAGGCCTATGAGCCAGGAGTCGATTCGAGTCGTTAAGCTGTAAGTACCAAACCGTAGTCCCCCCTGTTGCGACTTCTTCCTGTTATTATTGGACTTGCGGCAGTCCTACTAAGAAGAAGGAGAAGTTCCAACACATTCTCTAAAGGCTGGAGTCTTAGAGCTGTGATACTATAGAATATCTATTTAGTCCGCCCCCCGGGTCAAAGTTTTACAGTTCAAGTAAGTAAGCAAGCCCCAACAATTAATTCCAAGGGTAAGCGCATTTAGTTCGCTTTCGAGTGTAAGAGAGTAAGTTTTTACAGCCAGAAACTGGGGCAGGCAATTAATATAGATCTAGCTCGGGATATGCCTTTAATAGTAATAGTTAAGGCTGGTAATATGGTACCAGGAAAGATTCAATATTTTTATCACTAGGCGGGGCAGGTTTCAAGTTTTCCCCAAGCTTTCACCAGGTACAGTAATCGGTATTAGCCGCCCTCTTTACGCTAGAGTCGGTCGCTTTCATTTAAATTGCTCATTCATCTTGAATTGAATCCGAGTTGTGACCAAGTTGACTGCTCCTAGAAAGGGACTATCGGGGTGTGAAAGGAAGCCGATTAAGAAAATGCTTTTCTTTTTGAATGCGGCGAAAAGGCTCTTAACAGGCCCTAAGTCATTTCTCTTTTATAAGTGACTGCACTGCTAAGTGCTTCGATTTCGGTACATAGAAGGTGTTGGATATTCTGGAATACGTTGTCATTTCGAGTGCTTTTCGCTCTCATTTATTCTCCAAGCCCCAGCGAGCGAGCCAGTGTCCGTGAACTTTTAGATATATTTTAACTTTTAATACTTGACTTAAACGATACAAGTATATTAGTATATTAAGATCCTATTAATAACTTATGATACTACCTCGTTTAATTAAAAAAAACTTTCCAAGAGTAAGTTTGTTTGAAAGTAATACATCTAGGTTCGCGAGCTAGCCATCGAGTAAGACAGTGACAGCAAGCTCTGGTTCAGCGCCATATATATAAAGGTGGTACCTTTTTTTTTATTCTCTGGGTTTATTTTTAAGTTGGAGCACCGTATAATGAAGAACCCCAAAGATATTTAAAGCCTATTTCAAAAATCCTATTGTAAGTGTGGAAGGAATTCCTAGTTGCTTTCTTGGCTTCAAAAGTGCAAAAGTATAAATAAGTAAAGCCAGTATAAAAAAGGAGAAGTCTTTAAAGCAGTAGTTTTAGTTTTTATACCTCCAGTTGCAGTGCTCTTTTCAAGAAGGTAATCAAATGCTTAGGCAATTAGGGAGATTTTAGGTAAAAAAAGAGCTTTCAATCAAACTGCCCTTATTCTTCTCAACATCTGCGGACCCCTGAAGTGACAGCATCCCTAGTACCCTTACTCCAACTGAGCTTAGTTCTTCAAACATCTGCGCATCAGATTGGTTCACTTCCTGCCCTACGGTCTAAACCTGGAATGAATAGTTTCTGGAGAAGTGTAAAGATCACTAGAAAGAGTTCACTATACTATATAGGCTTCTGCTGGGCTCTTATAGCTGTAATAAGGAAAGACTTCTTTTTTCAGATCAATTCTATGGAACCAGATAAATGAGAGGATAGTTTCTGCCCCGTGACCGGTTCTTAAGTCGCGATTTTGCACTTAAATGATAGCTTTCTCGAGGAAAGATTGAAGGCTGACCTGGCCCTCACTCTCAAGGCTTTCGCTCCGGATGTCCCGAGATAAGCATTCATTCATACAAGCACAAAGACTTTTCCGTGCCTAAGAAAAAGGACGAATCTCCTCTTTCTTTTCTTTCTAGGCTGATAGTAGCCCTTCCTCCCCGAAGAGAAAGTAGGGCATTCACCTCTATCAATGACTTAAGAAAAGCAGCCTTTCTTAATAAAGAACCCGAAGGCGAGCTACCCTGCTCGTGACACATAGATAGGGCTTGCTGCTCCTTCCCGTCCCTCCCTTTCTTGATAGCACAGGAAAGAGGCTAGCACTAGCAGTGCGTATTCCATCAAGAGCTGCTCAATCTATGCAACTTGGGATCTTATGGCTTCTTACTCTAGAAATTCCTTCATTTAATAAATAGAAATAGAATCTTATACTACTAGGACCAAAGTCAAGTGATTCAACTCCAGCACGAACGGCTACATCCTCTTCCACTGCTCCCACTTCTGCTACCGGGCATGAACTTCCCTGGACTTGCTATCGAGAAGGAAATCCGCCTTAAGCCTTCACTCGGAGTTCTTTCTTTTCTTGCTTGCTGGCTATCCCGTACTTTGACTATACTAGTGAAACTATCTGAAGCTTAAGCCTAAGCCCCCTTATGAAACCAACCGAAAAAAGCTTTTATTTGCGTGCTGGTACCCTTCCTTACTCTATCAAGTAAGTACTTTCATTCCTTATGGGAGGTTTTATTGGAGTGATAGTGCTTGGAGTGGTCCCTTATCCTTTCTTGCTGGCTTGCTTAATCTTATCTAACTTTCCGCGCTGCCTAAGGAGATAGATTCGACTGACTCTTCTCAATAGTAGGGGGAGATCTAGGAAGAAGTAGACGAATCCCCTTACTTATGCTTTGATTGGACTTTGGTGCTTGAGAGAGGAAAACAGAAAAAAAAGCAGTATCCCTCACAGCGGGGAAAAAGTGCTTTTAGTAGGGAAGACAACTCCCTAACTCGTTCGAGCTAGGCCGAAGCCCCGAATGGATTGGATCGTTGCAACCCTGTTTCCATATCTTTCGGCGTATCACCATTCTTCTGGTGCATTCTACGCGGTTAGTCTATCGGCCTATCGCCTCTCTTTTCTAATCAAGGTGATTCTCTGGACTATCTTACTCTATTGAGTTCGTAGTTCTTCCCGGACCCCAATCCCTCACTCATGGGAGCGAACCCCGAAGCCAAGGTTGCTAAGGATCTCTACCTCTCCTAAGCCCATGCAGCGAGTTCGCTGTCGCTGTTGCAGGCACCTACTTCTAGGTTTTAGTATGCAGAATTCCTAGTAACCTCCGCCCTAAGGGTTCCGGATCCCTAATAGTGGTTAGTCTTCCTAAGCCTGTTTGCATCTTTCTCGTGAATCGCCAGTTTAGCATGTATTTCCTTTTGTAAAGCTGCCCAAAGAGCAGGCTATTCGCTCCCTTTTCTTTGGTTTGAGAACTTACATCGACTAGGCCGTAAAGGAGTCAGTATTGACTTTCACGACTATCAAGCAAAGGAGCCATCTTTCATGGATGCATGGCTTCGAACTATAATAGCTCAAGGAATCAACCATTCGATTTTCAAATAGAGAACGTAAGCACTAATTCATCTCGTCTTGACTCTTTCCTTACTATACTTTAGAATTCCGGGTGAAGGAAGTATGCGTTATTGGTCGAAGGTAGGTAAAAAAAGGATACCTTCTTGCTTCCCGAAATAACAGGTGAAGAGCGAGGATGGTATTCCAGTTCAGTACTGATCTGTGTAAGCCAAATAGATACCTACTTCCCTTGCCAGGTGCAGCTGTTAAGTCCCGTCCCCTATGTATAGGCAACCCAAGCCAACTACCACACTCCTTCCGAGTGAATGGATTCCTTTCTATAAGGTTCCCAAGTATACATGTGATTCTGCAATGTAAAACTGGTTGTTCCCCGAGCTCCAACTGCTTTAAGAGTTCCGAGCTTCCTGACCGCTCCTACTCCTGGGTTTTGGTATCGAGACATAATCCATTTAGCCAAATCAGCTGATTTGCTTAATGCCTCCCGTCCTCATTGGAGGCCCAGGTTCCGGATTCTAGGAGGAGAACCGAGACACCTCACTCATGGCACCTAGGCGAACTTCCCCGTTGGAGAGGCAATGGAGACTAAACCCCCAATTTCCTCACTCTTTCCGAACCTAAGCCAACTATCCCGTCCTTCCTAGCTCTAGCTTGTGTCTTCTCGGCGAATGCCCAGTCTCTCGATGAATAGTCAGCTCTCCCTTCTATTTAGGTTATTCTAGAAACCCGGTAACAAAAGAAGCAGTTTTCCTTTGATTTGCTCTTAAGCGGTGTTAGTAGTGGTAGCTACTGAAGACCAAGGAATAGACCCCAAACTATCCCCTCTTAGGTCGGTTCTATGCTTCCCGAGTCCACATTCCCTTCTTTAGGATTGAATAGAGTAAGGGCTGGGCTGCCCTTTACTTGTTCTATTAGTTAGAGTAGTCTCCGTGGAGAGGTAAATCAAACTAATTTAGTTGCCGAAGCGCAGAGCTAAAGAGTCTCTCTGCTTGCTTGTTCTTTCTTAAGCTATTCCCGCTTGTAATTCCTTCTCTTAATGTGGTTGTATCATCGTCGAATCGTTTGCTCGCAGTTCTTGCAGTTGCAGACTGAGCTGGGTAATCTGTAGCGAACCCCTAAGCCAATCAATCTATCTTTTTTGGTCATTCTCCAAGGTTTTTGGGGTGATTCTTCGAGGTTCATGTTCGAAGGTAGGCAAACGAAGCCAACCCAAACACATCTTCCACCCAGACTTCTTCCACTACCTGTAAGAGAGTGGGGTGATCCGCCCATTTGTTCAATTGAAATCTTTCTCTACAAGTGTACGGCTTCCATAGTATAACTCATTCGAGAGAGCCTAAGAGAGAGCTTCGAACCAGGCTACCCAACCATCGCTGGCGCAGTTGCAGTGTTGTTGCTCTCTTCTTCTGAAGCTAGGATTCCCTTATTTGTTGTTAGTTGGTAAAGGAGCCATGCTTCTTGAGCCCGCATTCCGCTCAATCCTAAAGAAGGGAATGGTTTAAGGGATGCCACTAGCTTTCTGATTGATAAGACCGATCCCTCTTCTATTAGTCTAGTCCTTTTTGGTGAAAGGACGAATCGGTAGAAAAAGGCTTAGAATCGGTAGTTTCGATCGACGAATCACGTGTCTCTCTTTTCTAATTGGATTTGTTCTCTGCAGTTGATGATCAGCGAATCATCAATCAGTCTTTCAGTGTTTCCGCTCGATAAGGTGTCGAAATCTTCATGTGATTCTGCGGTCCTTGTTGCCGATGCTTTGATTAAGGGAAGGGGATTCCCAGGGCAAGGGGAAGAGCTAGGCTAAGAAGGAAGCTCTGAAAAGAGTTGATCACGTAGGTTGCTTAAGGAGCTCTGCTTTCTTTTCGTGGGTGAGTTGTAGTTCCTTCTCTTGATGCACTTGTTGGCTATGCCATTGAGTCCGACCATTTCCTTGCTTTAGGCAGGAATGTAGTAAGGTATGCCCTCTCCTGTAGCTATAAGCTCGAGGGCGTGTCTCTTGAATTCCACTCAATAGGTTGCCAGAATCCCCATGTGATTCTCGGTTGTTTGCATCTCATTCTTCGCTCTCTTTTGTTAGCAATGAGAGCAAGTTCCCACTTCTCTTAGCTATGAGCTAGCACTTGCTTCTGATCGAGGATGATAACGAGACTTGATCTGAGCGTAACCAACCAATGTTGGATCATAAGGATCTATGCTTTCCTCCTTGTTTGCAGTTGGTATCGTAGAATCGGTAATCTTCCTCATCGAATGCCCATCTTTCCCTTCTAATTGGTGTATTCTCTGATTCAAGATCCTCGTCGAATGTACTCATCAAACCCCGATTTTAACTGCAATAAAGCCTGAATTACTGAATAAAAAAGATGGAATTAAATACGATACTAATGTCAAAAATATAGTGAGTTGTTACTCTCAATATGTGAATACTGTGTGCGGTAAACATATTTTTTCCAATCCACAGGATGGGCGGAAACGTCATATTGAGAAGTGGAATTCATTTTCAGCACAGCTCCAGAGCTGGCTGGGAGAATAAGAAGTTTCAGTACTGTGTCCACTTCTAAAGGAGATAGTATGTTACCGGGCAAGAATGCTGAAATGCAAGTTTCTTATTCCAAAGATACCTTTGATGGTTATTGGTCCCGTTTAAAGCGGTTGATCGCTCATGAATCATGCAAGGATCCATATTCAGGATTAAGAATAGCTGCTGTTTTCTTCATTATTTGAAATGTGCAGAATATAAGCTTCTAGCATTGGTTGTAATGAAACTGTTATTGAAGTACGCTTACTATATTAAAATTTTTTATGGGAAATTGACTATAGGGTATGTGATGAAACAGTCAACTGGAGATATTTCCTTTACAATAGGTAAAGCTATTTCTTTAATGGATGCTATGGGGAATGCTGTGCCAAACATAGATTTATACAATACTATATTTAAATTGGTTAAGGCTAAAGCCGAGGATTACCTGGGTGAATTGGTATCAAGTGTATTCATTCGAATCTATCTATTGGGTAGGTATGAATCCTCCGATTGCTCTCTTAGCGAAGATGAAATCTATAACCGGATTTGGGAATTCATTTCAGCCGGTATAAGTGCTGGTGAACCAGTAGAAGTGAAATCTATGGTTAGGAAGCGTCCTTATCCCAATTATATAACTGCACTCAAACCGACGAGTAAGGAAAGGTCATTGTAGCCGATACGGAGACAGTTATAATAAATGATGTTCATGTGCCTTACGCTGCGGGTTTCTTGGTGGTTAAGCCGGGTGAAGATGTGGGTTCCAAGCCTGATAATTTAATTGAAACATATTTTAGTGAAGAGTATATAGTTAAGTCCGAATTCACAGATAGGAGCTATTCAATGCTGTTTTTTTCCATATGAGGAAAATTTGGGTGACTAAAAGAATGAGGGACTGATCCAGGTCCATAAGTATTAGGTCCACCAGCGCACACAATTATTCTGCCCGTTTAACTACCCCTAGAGAAATTTCTGCTGATGGCCCTTGAATTATAGCAACCTCAACTGCCGTACCCAGGCACCGGTCTCTAGAAGCTTCTGGAATCTTCAATTTATTTGTATGGCCTCAGTGATGAGAATATTTTGTGTGCCACTTCTGATGATGCATTGGGGACAAGTATATGTCAGTTCAGTAGATCAACGCTTTCAAGGACTCCTAAGTGATTTGTCACCAGGCAGCACATCCGCAGATGCCATAAATTCCTCCGAAAAATCAGAAACTGATACTGTGCGGCCATACAATAGAATTCCAATTCTCGTTGTCGGGGGAAGTGAATCAACTGTTTTCAGTTTGAACGTAATCAACCACAGGTGATGACAGTTCTGGCAAATTTCGAAGATCTTCCTTGCTTGGAGCTATGTATTCACCTCCGCTTCCATTCAGTTTCCGGCAAATTACACACTGCCATTGGCCTGAGCCAAGTAATATCTTGCAATAGAGATTTGCATAAGCCCCACAATTTTGAAAACGATGAGGATCACGCTATTTTAGGACCTGGTGAAATCTCCCTCCCAGGATAAAGCAATGCCCAAAAACCCAAACTGGGTACATTTTCTAGTTTCTTCTCTTTCAACATCTTATGAGCTGAGAATAAAACACATGGCCCCAGCAGGAGTCCTTTACAGCATCGTGAACCTGGTGCTCAACTGCCCCATTTCATAAATGGGGAGGAGGCGGGCAAGCATGAACCCGACGAGAAAGCAACTGTCTGAGGTGTTGCCGGAGAAGTCCGAAAAGGCACAGCAGCAGGCCGGGACATATTTTTTTTTTTTTTATTGCCATCTATTTTGAGGCCGTAGTTCAAGTCAGTGTTAGAGGAGAGGTCGGCCAACCTCCTAGCCAATCCGGACATCTGTTGCTCAATAAATTATCTAAAACTAAAAAAATGTGAACCTTGTTAGGCGGGAATCAAAGGATAGTCAACTAGACGCATCAGCTGCAGGAGGGGTATGAAGTGGCCACAACCCCCTGTCCTTTGTTTTATTGAATCGAGGCACTCATCTTCAGTCGACCAATAATGCATTTCTTGCTCGATGAAGCTCCGCCTATCGAAGAATCAAAATTCTTTCGCCAAAAAAAACTCGATCTGCCGGGGTGCGTGGGGGTGGTGCGTTGTGAAAGGACTAACCCGGGTCTTGCGTAAGGCTTACTTGTAGGAGGGCGCGCGGGTGCCGCACGGGCTAGCTGTCAAAACTCTTTGTTCGTGACAAATCAGAGCGAGTTATCGAACCGTGAGCAGGGAACAGATGACGAAGGGAACTAGTGCCTCTACAACAGGACAAGAGCGCAAGAAAACCAAAAGGAGCGGATAGAGGGCAAGGAGGAAATGAGTGCCCCTTTCACCAAGTGAAAGGAATAGGAAATTAGAGAGAAATTAGAACCATCCAATGAGAAGGGGAGGACATGCATTGGAATCGTTCTCGAAAGGGCCGCGTAGACAATTAGGAATCAAGTTTGCGATAATGGGCACGTTCCTTTTTTTGGTGAATACTTTGGCGTACTTCGAATCTAATTTACACTCTTGCCCATCTAAGATCCGAAGTAACGTGTTTGCATAAGTGGTTCCAGCCTCTATCGGCCCATGTTTTCGGACGTCGGCTCATGGAATTCGTCGAAAATCCACATATCGTAGTAGTCGTGTGCACCACTAAAATCATTTCGTCGCGAGCTTGCAAAGTCTATTTTGAGTACTTTACTTAAATAATGCATTATGAGTGTTTTTTGTGTGCTCGGCTCTCCATATAGAAAGAGCTGGGCGCTCTTAATAGGTCTGTGATAACAGAGCTGGCATGCTACCCTCAAAAGGTACTTCTCGCATAGTTCTTCAGGCTCCTCGGGGTCACCATGTTGAGTGAGCCACCACCCTTTGTCCGAATGAGGATCTTTTTTCCTTGACTATTTTAATATCGTCATATAGATTTCGTAGTTGATTATAGTTATACGCTTTGATCAAGGCATGCTTCCATTTTGGGTCCTCGTAGACTGAATACCAATCCTGAGCTTGTTCTAAGACGGCCCACATCTCTTGTGATGTTGCGCTTTCAGGAACTTTTCGCTTTTTTTTTTATGGCGCGGCCCTAGCTATATGGAGAATGTCTTCCCTTTGATATGTCCCCCAAACAACAGGGTTCTTATCCTCTTTTGAGATATACTGGCATATTGTTCCAAACCCATGGTGAAAACGGCAATGGAGCTGACTTTCCTCAAACTCGGGAAAGGTTCGCCGAAGCTGCTTTGTAGCTTTGTAGCGAGATGCGTTGTTGGTATATATTCCTACGTGTAAATGGATTCCTTTGCCGTCCGCATGGCTTTCCGTTGAAATAACTATTGCATTGAAAAAGACTTTGTATTCGACCATGGGGGTTGATTTCATCTTTCGGCATGTGACAATGTGAGAAGAATGTACTTTCGTATGGAGCGGGAGCACGGGGTGGTTTTCTTGTTGTAACTTGAGGTGAGACTTTTCACCTCGTTAGTGGTATTGGGAGAAGAGATACTAGAAGTAGATTTGTTCTGGGTCATGAGAAAAGTCGAATTGTTTTGCCCCAGGGGCAGCGCTCCGACGTAAGAGGAGCGATATACCGGAAAAGGGTTCTCGATACGATATTCTGAAACACTCAAATCTATGACTCTCGTTGGCCAGCCGAAAACATGTGTTTTGTTTAGTCATATGAATTGGGAAGGAGATTTTCTGGTCTGTGGTTGAAGCTCCCCATCTTTTGACATCGTCATTTCACGTGAGAAGTGGGCTCTCCTTCGGTATCTCGACAACGCTGCGATTTAGATTGGAGAACCGGATCCCAAATAGCAGCTGTGCAGCGCTTTCTTCTTTACTGGCTGTAACGTAACAAGCGAAGCACTTACATTCGCTCGATTCCTTCCTTTAGAACGCTCTAGAGGAGTAGGACTTGAACCTTCAATGGCTGGACCGACAGCAAAGGAACCTGGTCACTCGCTCTAACCCATATTCCATAGAGTACTTCACTTCCTCTCTCCCCCCGGGCTGTAACGTACTCATACCGGCGGAAAAGAAAGCATAAGGAATGGATAGGTATGTAAAAAACCTCCTATATCCATAGAACCTTTTACTCCCTAGGGATCACTCCATTCCCAACTCTGGAAAAGAAAGTCTTACCGACTAGGGCGTATAGACATTGTGTCTCGCAAGGAAATTGGCAGCTGGCCTAAAATAACTTGATTGAACTAGCTTGATCACATGAAAAGAAAAAAGCTTTCTCCTTGGCAGGGAAACAGGCACAGCAACATGAGGGGCTTTGACTCCCGTTAGCGGGACTGCTACGGACAAGGAAGGACTAGTCGAGATGAAGGGACACTTTCATTGTCTATAAAGGGAAAGGGCAAAGAAACTCCAACGACTGACTCTGGCTATAGGGATGTGACAGAATTCCCTGCGAGAAATCCTCCCACTGCTATTGTAGTGGCTTAACCTTTTTCGATGGCAGAAGCATTGGATGCCTTTTTTTTTTCTCCAACACGCTTGATCTAGCCCTCTCTTGGAACTAGATCCCTAGGTTGGAAAGAAAATCTTGTATAAGTGCTCCTTGGCTTACTTCAAGCCGGGGATTGCATACCTCTCACTCGCTTTCGAGAGTCTTTAAAAAAGCAGTACTGATCCCAGAAAGACAGAAAGCTCCTTCACCATTGGCATTCTGGGCATCTGAGATGAGAAGAGGATTCGCGGCATGTCAAGCCCTGGTTCTTCGCTTTGCATCGAATTAAACCACATGCTCCACCGCTTGTGCGACCCGAGGGGACAAGAGAAGAGCAATAAAAGGCCCAGCCTTGATTGTTGTAGCTTCAAGCCACTCAAGCAGAGAGAAAGCCCTTGTTCAAGCTTAGAGCAAAGACCAATGGAAAAGGTGACGGATCTCCGCAGCTAAACTAAACCATCGTCAGGTTCTCATAGAATGGGCTAGCGTCCGGTTTAATGAAAAAGGGGAAGAAGCGGATCGGGATTTGGAAGATCAACCACGAGCTCTATTGATTCTCCAATCCACTGGGCTTGGCACATACCCGGCATACTCAGACTAAGATGTTCAGCATATCCGAATTCTTATCTTAAGTGAATAATTTATCGATTCCTGAATCTGAAACTCTCGTCATCGAATCTGTCAGTTAAGGATCGAGTCATTCTTGATCACTAGTTCTCTCTGGATCTCTGATTCTGAGGTCATGTCAAGGTTGTTTTTTCTGAGAGTCTTCGGTTGGCTGTCCGGGCCCATAGAGCCTAGCCATGAGTAGACCGAAAGGGTCTCGCGAAGCCGGTAACCGCAGGGCATAAGTCCTCACCGATCTAAACGAGAAGACAACGGTTGACAGTGTACAGCCAGGTAAGAGAGAAAGAGAGAAACTTTAGTCAGGCAGGATTTCTAAGGAAACATTTCAAGTATGGGCCCTTATCATATGAATTAAAAACCACATCTCCTGCCGTGATGTGAAAACTCCATATCTTCCAATAGCCAATAGATAGAAGGAATCCATCTGACACTTCTCTCAACTGTTTGGGGTGTGAAGGCTTCTCCTCTCCTCTAGCTGCCCCCTTTCTTTTTCTTCGGCATTTACACCCCCTATTTGAGTAAGGCTGGAAAGTCTCCTTCAACATAAAAAAGATCTTTCGCCCTTTCTTTTTCTATCTCTCTGTCATGCTCTTCTTCTTCGCTTGAGGACTAGCAAGCTACGGCAGTAGTGGTTTTCCTTTTTTCTTTATCCACACTCTGTCCATTTGGTCTGAGTCCTGATCTTATTCCAGATTACCCTCTTATGGATTTTATCCAGGTTCAGGCAATCTTTCTGGTGCCGAAACTGCCTGACCACTTCTAGAAAAAAATGCACCAATACCTTTGGCCTTACCTTATGACCTTGGCCAACTTTCTTCATACCTCTTTTATCCCCTCACAAAAGCAACTCACACATCGTCATTCTGAGGAAGAGCCCCTCCGCTTTGAGTTCTATGGGGGTCTTCTTCCTTTTCTTATTGGAAATCCTCTGTAAGCCTTTTTTTTTCCTTAATTTTTTTTGTTCTCAGGCGCGAAGCCCTATCGCTGACGAATACTTCGTCATCTGAAAACAACCCCTCGTCTATCACTCAACCTTCTTTCTGTTGATTTTCTTCCAAGATCTGTTGCAAACGAACTGATCTGTCTTTCTGGCTTCTGGCCCACTCAAAGCAGGAAGTATAAAAGTCCTTCCAGGTCGGGATGGCCACGTTCTCTCTCGAAAGGATATCCGTTTCTTCCAAGCGTCAACTAGATCTCTAGACCGCATGGCCTGATCATAGCCCTACGGACGAGCTAGTCTATGGTGGCTATATCTCTCTAATAAGGCAAGCTAATAAGGCAAGGCCTTCCTTAAAACCGAAAAAATCAAGAGCTTTTTCAATAGTTAAGAAAAAATGCTCTGCCGTATTGGTATGAGCGTTAAACCAGTCAATACTTCCATGAGCATGACTATAAATCCTTTGATTTCTTCGTCCTGGCATGGGATCACAATACAGACGAAAGACGAATTGACTTCCGTATTTAGCCTAGCTCCTAGCCTTTCTCTTTCCTTCCAGCCTACCTCTAAAGTTCTCCGCTGTCACCTAGGCCTGAGACATGCCTCCTATCGTGCTTTCCTACCTACTTAATAATCCATAGGTGAATTCTCTCCTAACTAGCTTGCTACCCGGGAAGCTCCTCTGCTCTGACCTCCTTGCACTCAACTGCTTTGGCATAGGGGCCGTGGGGTGGGGGTCCTGGGGCCTTCCGGCCTTTTTTTTAGAGCGCTGAATTTTTGCGATATTTTGAAACAAGAAGCGGAGAAACCTCGAGATACTTTTCACTTGTCTTCTGCGAGTCTGAGACCGTCACTTCTGCGGCTACTCGACTTTTGCAAGTCCTGATCTCGAAAAAATCCCCTTTAAGTCTCCTCTATCTCAGAGTCTATTCTAAAAAAAGAATCCACCAATAGCCCTAAAATAGATTGAGTTACATAGTGCCGCCCGGGTTTGGAACCCACTTTTTATAAGTTCATATGCACGCATGCATGTGTCATCACCTCATTGGTCTGAGGTCTGACGGGAAAAGAAAAATCTTTTTCTTTTCTTATTTAGATTCTTAGTTTTTCTTAGAAGAGAGAAAGAGTAGAAACAAAGGGTACGCTCTCTAGAAGATCGGGGCTGTTCACTTTCTTTCACTTGGTCGCCTGGTATCTCACAACCTCTTTGCTTGCGGGGGCAGGAGTGGTGAAGTCTAAGAGAGCGCTTCGCGAAAGAATCGTGTGGCGCGTAGGGTTCCAGTTGGGGTTTCCGGCCCCCTTGGTCTTCACCTAATTGTGGAAGAGGGGAGGTGAGTATCAACTCTCTCTCTCTCTCGCGCCTTTCTTCAGCTTGTTCCTGTTCGTCTATTCGGGACGGGGCAGGCAGCCCACATACATGAAGAGAGGGGGGGGTTCTTTGATATTAAGGTCGTGAGGCGGTCGAAGAAGGCCACAAATGGAAGCAACCGATGCTTTGGTCATTCAGTCACCTCCGTCGCTGCCAGTCCGTGCTTGCTGTCATGCTGGCAAAAGCAGGGGTTTCGGCCGGTTTTACCTACTATTGGATTTGAACCAATGACTCTCGCCGTATGAAAGCGATACTCTAACCGCTGAGTCAAGTAGGTCAAGCTGAGTCAAGTCAGAAAAAAGAAAATAGACCCCTATAAGAGAAAGCCGCGCAACCCGAGTTCCCCAACCTATACGAGGGGGGGGCGGAGCGCTAAGAAAGAGAAAGCGTTATCACTATACGAAATGAAGCAGCGGCTAGTACGCTAAGATCAACCAATGTTCGAACGTGGAGCCTTTCTTTCTCGGTCGTCTAGCTTAATCTTAATCTAAGTGGATTCCGATTCACGCGGTCGTTCTCTACTCTACTGCATTGGTGTTTTCACTCCCCACTCTCCACCATAAAAAAATGTTTCCAGTCAAAGGTATGAAGTCACTCGACTGATAAGGAGAGGAAGGGAGGCGGGTCCGAGTAAGAAAAAATGAACTAAGAACTAGGGCATACAACAATGGATCAATTCATTCAACAAGATCCGTTCGGATCGGACCAGGATGAATGGGATGGGTCTGACCTCTCGCTCGGATGTGACGACTCCCGCCGTCGACAGATGTCCCATGCCACGTTTCGTGAACAGCTATGCCCGAGAATAAATTGTGATATAGCGCCGAATAAGCCACTGCTCTATTCCCGACTCGAAATCTATAAAGGACTTTAAGGGAGAGAAAATAGGGGGCCCTACACCATACATCCTGCTGCCTCGGGACGACTGCACGTTACATCATAGCAGAACGACCAAATGAAGGCGGAAACCCCAGGTTGGACGTTCCTGCGCACCCGGCATCCTGCAATAAAAAAAAAGGCCCCGTCACTATAAGATAAGGGCGTTAGTGCTTTAGTTTCGTTTTCAATAAGGACGTTTAGGCTTTTAACATAGAAAGGGCTTTTTCAGCTTACTCTGCTACAGCGGACCGTTAACAGGGTGGGTGCCGCGGTTTGTGGGCTTGAAGGACGTCAGCGCCGTGACAAGTGGTATCAGAGCCAAGGGTTAGGCCAAACCATGGCTAGTGGGAAGAACCCGTAGGCTAGTGCCGTCGAAGAGGCTCGACGGAGATGGTTCGAATCAAGCGAAAGCAAAGGCATTCGTTGGCACCCGAGATGCTAAGGATCGAAGACTTTTTGGATATGGAGCGGCTTGTCGGACTACGTCCGAGGAGGCGTCGGTGAATACGGTTGCCATTGACAGAATCTCGGTGAAAAATAGAATATAACGACTAAGTAAAGAGTTTCGTCCTGGTTCGGAATCACAAGGCTGGGGCGGTTGCTGGGAAATAGCATCAGTAGTTCCACCCGGTTCTGATCGAGTAGGAAGCTAACATACGGTAATGGAAGAGGGCGGGTTTGTAGCGGAGGTGGACTCTGGTAGTGGAGGAGATATAGTAGATGGGATGGGCGGTCCTCCCTCTGTCTTCTGTGTTTGCAAGGGTGAGTTGATTGATTTGCGATCGGGTCGGTCTTCCAATCGGGGGGAGGTGGGCGAAGAGGGATCTTTCTGAGTAGAAGGAGATTTTGAGGAAATGGGAGCTTGATTACACAATCCACCAACGTCTGATCAGGGGTTTTCTTAACCTATTTAGGGAAAACTTGCTTAGAAGAAGGGGGCTTGGATTTCATTTTTGCCGTGCAGATGTGAGAAATTGCTATCAGCCATGTTCAATTGTTTGTACTCCCGCTTCTTTCTCCTTTTTCAAACTGAGAGCCTTTTCATATAAACCCATCATTTGGACTGGCTAGGTATACTAATTCGATCACGGCGGTTTTGACGCCTATTAAAAAAAAAAGTAGGAATTTTCATTTTGGTATCTAAGACGGTTTAGAAAGTCTTATATGCTTTCTACTAAAAATAGGCGTCCTATGGAAGAGTTCTTCGGCCGGTGGTACCTATTGTTAGGCTATGCCCATGAGTAGAGAGTGCTTTAGAGTTTAGTCTTGTATTGAGAGAGGGTTGCTGGAGAGAGTTTTCTTACTTTTGGAAGGTTTGTTGTCTAATCCTTGTGATCTCCATAGTGGAGCTTTGCCGGCCTTCACCGGTGGACATAGGTCTACTGACTGAATCAGGCCAGTATGGTTGGTCTTCTTGTGTTTTCTTTGCCTCACTAAACTAGGAAATAAGCGCTCTAACAAAGCAAAAGAAGGATGCCCTAAGCGTCGAGGAACATGTACCTTGGTCTATGTAAAGGATGCACTCTTTCTCAGGGCATGTTTCCTGAAAAAGTAGCTGGACTTCGACGATTCTTTCTTTTTGGCTATGAAGGAAACCGTCACGACTTCGTTCCAGACTATAGGAAGTTCTACGGAGTTACATTCAGTTGCTAAAAAGCTAGTCGCCGTTTCCGAAGTAACGGGAGATGGAACAAACAAGGGCGCCAAGGATCGTTGAATTGGATTCCCAATCTGATCCGTCTGAGTCAGGTCAGAAGAGGTGTAGAGGGATAGGAAATATTAGCAAACGGTCTTATGCCTGCTCTTTGCTCCTAATTGGAGGGATCCCTTTCTCTATGCCTTTGTTCTATTCTATGATTGACTTCGGCTATGCAACCCTCATCCAAAAAAGGATGTGTGCAATCACTAATGATGAGTCCCTCCTATCGATTTGTAAAAGGTTTTGAGATTGTTTACCTTGACGCTCAACAACTTCTAAGATAGGGTGCCTTGGATCAAGATGTATGAATGAGTGGCTTTCTATATGCGGATGTGGTATTCCATGTCACCAAAGTAGGCAACTAAGCTTAAGCTTACTTCCATCTCCTATCAATGGCTTCCAGGATACCAATTAGCATCTTTATTAGCAAGCAGTTTCTTTAAGTAATTTCGATCGCCCATTGCATTTGAAAACATCCTCATGTGGGATTCCTTATCTGGTCTCCTTTTCGTTTGATCTAGAGCATTTCTCGGGGTAGTTTTGGATCTCAACAGAGAGAAATGGTCTCTGGAGACAGCCTTTGGGGTATCCCCTGATTGACCGACCATGCTAAATAAGCAGGCTCGTTAGGAAGAGTAGGCACCTTGGTTACCGTCAATTCTTGGAATCACATTATTTAAAGAGTCAGAAAATGCCCGTGGAAAGAGAGTCACATTCCCTTATGCTTTTGGTGAAAGGCAATCTTACCTATTAATATAGTCCTTGCGAAGCTCGATAGCCTAAGGATGCGAGGTTGAGCGTTAGCGAAGAAGCGAAGCTTAAGGAGGACGAAGCTAGACTATGGGTGACGCGTCAGCGAAGAAGGCGACCGGATCAGGATCTTGAGAATGTGGGAAATAGATTAGATAAATCTTGCAAACCAGGATCAGAAAAAGCTTGTTCAACAGATCCTTCCAATTCTGGTTTTCATGGATCCAAGTGTGCCTCTTGGGAAGAAATTGCTGCATTGATATGAAATGATCTTCTGCGCCTAAGCCAACGATTCAGATAAGGCTCGAGAGTTAAATAGAACCTTGACTTTCATTTGAAACCCATAATACTAACTCTGCGATCGCCTATGTCTTTCTATAGAACACGATCCCCTAGCCTAAATAGAAAGAGGTCTGGCTATGGTCGAGAATGAGGTCACACTAAGCAGGAATCTTGCCCTATGTTGACCTGCCCCTGAGATCTCTTGCTAGAGTCTAAGCTGATGATAGGGAGTTCTGGATTCCTTCTAAATCTGTGTAAAAGAATTCGATTCGATTTTAGATAGGCTAAAGAGGCTGCTCTAGATAGGAAGGATGGGAATAAGCATTTTCTTAAAGACCCTCAAAGAATACACAGCATCCATTGAGACCTTCCTAAAGCTTTCCAGCTATGTTAATAACTCCGACTCGAAAATGCAAATGAAAGAGTAGTTGGCTTATTTGACTCTAGAACGACTCAGTTGAATTCAATGGATTCGATAGGGATAGAAGAAGCTCTGAATAGTTCGATAGCAACTCCTTTGTTTTGAGAGGAAGGAAGAAGATAGGGTAGAACGAAGGAAGTTCTTTAGAAAGAGACTTTGATTCCCGACTAAGATGCCCGAAGAAGGCAGAGTCTGTTAGAGCAGATAGTGAAACCCCTAGGCTTCGAACCTCGACTTCTTTCTATTTCTTCAAAAAGACAAGAAGGAGCGACTGATAAGGAGCGGTTAGGAAGAACTCTTTGTTTTACTCTTTCTTCAATCCACTTCGATCGAATGTATGGCTCTATGGGGATGCCTTCTATATGAGCCTTCTGTACGGGATCTTTCTTTATTACGTCCCTGATAAACCGAAGTTCTTAGTCCGCTATGGCTTTGATCAGTCTGAGAAAGCTATTCGAAGCAAGAGAAGAAGAGCAAGAGGGTCATACAATCTTGGGGCTAAAGAGGAAGTCAGTCAGTACTTCGGGCGTTAGAGCTGAACAACGGGAAGGTTATGAAATAGGCAAGTATGTTCATACTTGGAAGGTTTCTTGCTTGTCTGATAAGAGAAGGAGACAGAAAGGAGACAAGTATGCTAATACTTGGAAGGTTATAAAATATCTAATGTATGGACGTTTGGGAAGGGCTTTCTAGGAAGACAGTAGAAGTCATAGGCCAGAAATAACTTAGGTATAAACCTTCACTAACATTCAGAATGAGAGGAACTTGAAATATCTCCCCTTGATCCGAGGCTGTTGAAGGTATCGCATAGAAAGGTGAGCTCCATCTATCAGTTTTCAGAGGCTTTGAGGTTTAACCATTCTATTTGGATATCTCGCCCACCCAGAATGAATCCGTGATAGCTACTAGATACTAGAGTCATACTGGTCTTGTTTGGCTTACAATAGGCATGGCATCTATGTTCTTGCTTCGGATAGACGGCTTTCCTTTCTTTACCAGGAGCAGTGAGCTTAGTACCGAAGCCTGTAATTGACGGCTGGAGGGTCATCAGTTTACGGCATCTCCGCTGAAGCCTCTGCCCAGCACTCGGATTAGGAATTACTAGACCAGGCCTGAACCACAGGAATGGACAGCCCTGAGTCAGGTGCACATCGTGACGTAAATGAGGATGGCGATGATAAGCAATCGAATAGTAAATAAAAGAACGAAACTCCCCTCTTTGCTGATGGTTGGATTTCTGTTCGATACGGACCTAGATGGAATGAAAAGCCTGGACCCCGTTGTTAGTTGAAAAGGCTTGGGTTATGGCTATCTCCCAAGAGTGGGGCATTTACCTGGCGTATGAGAACCAGAATAAAATAAGTCTTCTTTCTATACGAAAATACAGATTTCGTTCGCCTTCTTTCGTACTTATGGATACTTCTTCCGGTCAATCGAGGTCCTTCTCTGTTCCCATACGTGGATGTGGATTACTTGGACTTGTCTTGGATTTTATTTGTATTGTTAGCGGCATTCCCTTGCCGTTGGATTCCTGCCTCAAGACTCTGTCACTGGGCCGGGTTCGCCCACTGCTTTCATAGATGTCGTGCTTTGGCACAGAGCTAATGGTAATGGATGCCTATTACGTTCTCCTGCTCCAAAAGAAAGCATTCACCGACTTACTTACGTAATCGCGAATCAGGGAAGAGGTTTAAGCTGAGAAATTGAAATTGAGAAATCAAAATAAAATAATAGATTAGGCTATTATTAAGGAACTTTTCCTCTTCGAAAAGACTTTATCCCTGCTTCCAGCACAAGAAGGAGATTCAGCTTAAAAGCAGAACTCTATAGGATATGTATCGAATTGCATGAGATTAGACAGTTTTTTTGGAGCTTTTTAAAATTAGAATAGAAAGAGAGTCTTTTTGCTTGCCGCGAATGGCTCTCTTTGTTGGAGAGGAAAGAAACTACCTTGTTCTACCTTAGGAGCATAGAAGCCCGCCTAAACTCATCAAATCCAGAAAGGAAGCCAACTAACTCATAGCCGCCCACTCGCTCATATGACCGGCAGGTCGGAATTGGCCCTGATTCTTTCTGCTTCTTTTTTTTAGTACGGTATTACTTTCCTTCCTTATCCCAGTCTGAAACTAGAACAGCCTTCCGCTTTC